CCATTTCCTTATAATATTTTACTTCTAACTCTTTTATTTCTTGGTTTTTTTGCCTTATATATTTAACGTTCACTTCTGGACTTTTTTCTAATCTTTTTACTTCTTGGGATAAATTTGATATTTTATTTATCAATTCTCGTGGTACTTGGTCTCTTTGGTGCTTTTTGCTTTCTGATGTGATTTTTCTAGTTTCTATATTAGTCATGATATGTAATTGATAATGTTGTTGATATATTATACATTATTTTTGTCTTTGAGGTATTCCTGAATGAATTTCTTTTTTCAAATTTCCCCCTTTCATTTTATATATTGGTTGTGCCAAATCTCATCATGTCCTGCTCCTTTATGAGGTCTTCAACAAATATAACATCACTCTTGAAACTCTAACGACCAAGGGTCAAAATCAGGATGAAAACGAACATCATCCGAAGCATGGGCTAATTCGTGAATTACGGTATCAATGAAATTCTTTCGTGGTTGAAGAGTTTGAAAAATAATTTCAGATATTAGGATACCCTTAACAGGACTTTTTCAAAACTCTCCACTCCTCTCCTTAAATTTTGTTAGCCCGAGATCTACTCAATTTTCATCTCTGCCTAACTCTTTTACAAACCTAAACTTTATTTTTTGACTTGGCAATAATGTTTTAGCAATCTTATCAGCCATTTCCCTTTCTTTTTGTCTTCGAGTAATTGGAATATCCTCATGTTCATCCTCGTCGTCCCATTCTTCGTTTTGTCTTGCCATGTTAAGTTTATATCTTTTTTATTCCATATCTCCTCTTTATAACCTTATTAATCACTGGAAAGTTTGCTTATATTTTTTTGCTTGAATAGAAAAGCATAGGAGGTTAAAAAACAGTAGTCAATCATAAGCAATTTTACTCCTCCCTTGCCTTTTTCTCAAAAAAAGAAGCTGGGGAATAAATTTAGCTTATTTATTCCTCCTCACTACTATAATCATCATCATCGGACACAGTATCGTCCTCACTGTCTTCATCGGAATAATAATCTTCTTCACTGCTGCTGCCTTCCTCTTCGGAGCTTTCGGTTTCTTCGTCCTCACTCTCATCCTCTTCACTTTCTTCGTCTTCGTCAGAGTATTCTTGTTCCTCTACTTGTTCCTCGGCTTCACTCTCTTCCAATTCCTCTCCTAATTCGGCCCCTGGTTCTCCTTCCTCGTTTTCTCCCTCATTCTCTTCTAATTCATTCAGGTCAGGTATTTCCTCGGCTTGGTCCTCTTGTCGTTCTTCTTGGAGGTCGTCTTGACTTACTTCAGGGGGGTCAATTTGTTCGGTAGTGTGAGTGTATTCAGTTCAGGAAATTAGAATATCTTGGCTGTTGAAAGTAAAAATATAATCTCGATTAGCTACTAATTGCCGATGGGTGGCCTGGTTGCCAGCTTCCAGCAAATAAGTAAAGCAGCAGTCGGAAATCGGAGTAAAAGGAACTTTTAAGAAATTACTCCTTTTGAGTTTATCGTAAGTGCAGCCTCAACAACAACCCGAATTAGTAGTGCCTGTTTCTCGGTAGTGGTCTTTAAAGGCTGGGTGTTGGTTAGTAAATTTTCTTTGGTTAACTAAATCTTGCTCGGTATTATCAGGATTGTTAAAGCAAAAATAAGTAGCATGGGCATATTCTCTTTTGTCAGCCTCGTATTTAATTTCGTGGGTAAAAGTGTGAGCCGTCATGGTTTCATCACCCACGGCAATACTAGCATCCGAAATCGGATAAACTACTTCATTTTGGGGAGCAGTTAATTTTAGTTCAGGGTTAGTTAAATCTTCTTCTAACGAGTTATAGAAAAAAACCCCCTTACCCAAGATTTCTCCCATAAAGTTATCCGTATCGGCCTTTAATTTTAAGTCTCCTTGGTATTCTCCGACTTTGTTAATAATTACTCCTAGATTATTAAACTTCAAATCGAGGTTTAATTCGTGGCTCTTGTTGTTGGAGTTATGAAGATTGTTGAGTAAGTTCATGGAATATTGAAAACGGAAAACCAGAGAGGGGTCACAATAACGATTAGCAAACTCAAAAAAATCATATTTTAAATCGACCGTGTTAGCATATAACAAATCAGGAGTGATTAAGGGCTTATTTTTACTTGCTGACTTGTTGGGATTGCGATAGGTTCTCCGAGTGCTTTCTTCGTTTTCGGGTTCTTCTTTGGGAACTTCGTCTTGGAGACCTAGCAAAGATTTAATACCAACAAAATGTTCGGCTAAACCCGAAATAACTTGTTGGATGAGATTTTGGGTTTTATAGACTTGGCTGACACTCAATTCAGTTTTTCAAAACTGGGTTTTGGACTTCATAAAGTAGTAGGTCCCCGACGGGTTGGCTCGAACTTGGTTAAGAAATTTTAAGACCACATATTTAGGCAAGGGTCGGCCGTCGGGGTTAACTCCTCCTCCTTTTTCTTCTAACCAAAATTGATTTAAAAATCCGGTATGAATTAACTTATTGAGGTGAAATATTTGGACTGTGCTTTCGTGAATTAAATGAGGATATTGGTTAAATATTTCGGGCAAGGCTATTTCTTCGGGAATACCCGTTTTCGGTTTATCAGGTTCGGCATTATTTTCTTTTTGTTTACTAAATGCTAGGTATTGGGCTGATCTATTAAGATAATAATCTTTTGGAGCTAAAAAGGCTAGGGTTTGGGAATTAGTTAATTTATTAACAAAACCACTAAATCAGTCTATTATTCCCGACAAATGAAAATTAATCATTTTGAAATTAGTTACGATTTCAGGGTCTCACTCGTTGGGACCAGCTTTAAAAATAGTTATGCCTTGGGTAGTGGCCTCCGTTTGTAAGTCTAATATCACAGTTCTTAATCGGGGCTGAATGTCGGGGTTGTTAACTTCCACCATGGCTAAATTACCTTTATCATTACAATAGGAATAATGGAGTTTATTGCTTTCGGCTAATAAGTTTTGTTCGTCTTCTAAAAGTGAACTACCCACCACCTATAGAGGTGGGGGCTTCTAACAACTCAGAAATTATTTCTCAATTCTACACAGCGC